GCCATGTTATTGCCACTGCTCTTTACCTACAGGCGCACAAGTCAGAGCTGCACCACCCTCTAGAAGGGGTGACTCAGAGCACTGACCAAGGGCTTTCAGTTGCTATCGCTTGTGGAGGGACTGGTCAGCTCCTTCCCGGTGGCAGATTCTCAGGCCTTAGAAAACAGGCGGGCACAGGGAGTGGGGAACGCTGCTTTCACGTCTCCCTCTGACATGTCTGCACCTGAATATTTTTTGTATTTTTATTCAGAGTTCACCTTGTCTTTTTCAAACGTTTTACTTTAAACAATTTCAAACACATAGACAATTTGGCAGAATGGTTAAACAAGCCCCCCATACCCATCACCCAACTTCAATACTGATGGAATTATGACCAAACTTCCTTCACCTCTATCCCTCCCATCCTGCCCTCCCATTTTATTTTGCAGCAAATCCCAGGCATTTCATCATTTCACCTATAAATATAGCAATAAGAATCTTCAAAGTATATGAACTCAGAGCTCATTTTTTTAAATTGTGGCCTAAGATCATTATCACACCAAAATGTTTACCATTTTTAATAAGATTAATGTAATTAATGTAATAATTGATTTCTGGCTTCATTATTCTATTTTTTACATGACAAAATCTAAGCAGACTTTGAAACATTTCTCCAGATATGCTTAAAAATTCAAATAAAAAAAATAAGGGTTCCAATTTGAGATTTACCTTACATCTTCTTTTAGAATTCTAAAGTAACACAGATGTTGACATCTCTACTCAATACCTCATGAGAACAGCAGCAATAGAAACTGAAGCAATTCAGCTCCCACTGCATGCAGGCAGGCTCTTGTGAGGCTCGGTGGTTCACTTTACTTTCCAGCTGAGGAGAAACAGAGATCAAACTGGACACACACAACTGGCACCTGACGGAGCATGTGCACTCAGGGTTGTCTCACTTTAAAGTCTACGCATCTCTTCTTCCACACACAGATAAGCTTCACTGTTGTCAAACTGTTCAACTAGCTGGAAATGCTTTCTCTTAACTCCTTGCCTATTACCAGAATAAAAGACTGTTAGACTGTAGGTGGGAAGGCCTGTCTCCAATCCCCCCACTATCCGGATGAGCATATAGAGGCCTGAAGATATGAAGTAACTTCCCAGTACCATTCAAGCGGGTGAGCTGCAGGGCCAGGAAAAAACTGAGCTTTATGTCTTTGAGGCAGTCCCCTTTCCCTGCACACTGCCACTCATCTCCGGTGTGACAGTTCCGCTACTCTTCTTCTTGCTTTAGTCCTTTGCTTCACAACGTGTCAGAACATCCAAAGGCTGACAGCATTTGGGAAGCTCTTGTAACAGCAGGACACCAAGCACCAAAGGTCACAGTCAAAGTCATTCCAGCACTCCTTGCTGTGCCCCTGAAGTGTATCAGAGAGCACGTGCCCTTCCCATGGACTGAGTAGCAGCATGTGCTGTGTGACCGACAAGCCTGAAGAAGGCTGAAGTCACGTTTCAGGAGAATGCAGTAATCATCTGCTCCGGTATCAGAAAACTAAGGGTGCGGAGCCACAGAATTCTGAACAGAGGGAAGGTACACAGAGCTGGTGTCAAAATGCCATCTACCCAGTTCATATGGGTACAATGAGGACTGCCATCAGGGAGAATGTGTACTTACAGAATTTCTGGCTTTTATTTGTATGTTCAGAACAACTGTAGGAGGTAGATAGAGCACATTTCTAACTAGCTGTTGATCGGTTTCATATGTTTCACCACACCAGTTATAATGCCTGGACAAGATGGATAAAGGATATATTTACTGAGCACTTACCATGTGCCAGGAACTCCAAGGAATATACAAGAAATAGTTCTCATCCTTTAAGAACTTAAACAATCTATTTGAAAAGACATGACCACAAACACACACGGGAAAACTATTAAGAGAATGAGACAAGGCAGCCAAAACTTTCCAGAGAGAAAGCAGAGTGCCTAACCCAGGCCTGCTCCACAGTGTTTCTTTAAGCTCTGAGATGGGCTCATCAGGTCCTGAATTCCTTGGAGGGTTTGGGGGCATATGTAGAAACCAGCTGACAGCAGGGGACCTAAATTGGCTATTTATAGCAAGAAGGAGAGAAGGAACATACGCCTTCATGGTGCACTGCAGGAGGTCCACGAACCCGACCATTGTTTCACAGTGCTGCCTGCAGCCTGAAAGGCAGACTCAATTTTTTTCCTTTAAAGACAGGATGTTAACATCTATGTCTTAAAAACAGAGTCACACAACTAGATTTTCCAGGGTGATTAGAGAATCCAATCAAAGCATCAACTTCAGGCTTTCTCATTCATTGTCATGATGTATAGATGCATTTATAACTTTCTGTTCATTGTAACTAACATCTCATCTCTGTCAAAAGCCCATAATCACACATGTGATTATTTTAATTTCACCAATGTTTACAATTTCTTAGGAAGAATCAAACTTCAACTAGCCTCTAAGAGGAAATGAGGAGTGAGTCCTCTAAGACTGAAATGAAGAAATCTTCAGAATTCCAGCAATCCTTATCTAAAAATAGTTGTGAGACTCTTGAGTACACAGCATAGCACCCATCACATTATCTCCAGTGGAAAACTCCAACAAAGTAAAAAAATGAAGTTCACTAAAAGTCTAGATTTTATCTTTAATTTTAAAGAAGAGCTGACTGAAATGACTACAAATGACTAAATACAAAACATTGCATTCTATAAATAAAGTCATAATACGTTTCATTAAACCCTGTGGGCTGCTTCTGTTGAAGCTTTACTAGAAAAGAGAAAGAAACTGTCTCTCCCGGTATTTAAGAAGTATACACAAAACTAAGGGAAATGATAAAATCAAGTCTCTATTGTCTCCAACATACACAATCTAAATTAGGATTAAAATACCAACATCAGCTTCATTCACAAGGAGAAAAATTGATTTTAATGAACAGGCATTAACAACTTTTCCTGTTCCTATGTGAAGACAGAAAAATATCTTCTATAAATAATGTGACACGAGGTTTTCATTCACACCATAAACCTGCTTGGAATATTGGCTTTTATTTTTGTGCACCTAGATCTTTCATGTAAACATGACCTTAAAACTGAAAAAATGACAACAAAGGGGAAAAAAATATCTAGATGTCATTAAAGATTCCCAGGACTGGAGGCAACAATACACCAACCATCCTGCCTTCATCAAGTGGCCCAGGTAGTATTTTCTGACTGGTTTCCTATACCTTCCTCCAACACATGCATGACTTGAGTAGACTTACTGCTATTCAAGTGGAAGAACATACTGTGAAATAATAGCAACACTATGAAATGCACCACTTTTTCACTTTTCCATCAGCAGTGTAAAAAGGCTATCTTCTCTGAATGAGATGTCATGGTCTGTATGATTTGCTAAGAAATGGCTGTGCAGAAATTTATTTTATTAAACTGATGCTAAGGCATTTAGGTTAAGAAAATAGAACCTGAAAGAACGAAAACATATCTTTCCAGTGATTAGGTTAAATGAAAAGGTAAAACTACTCAGTCTGGAGGATATAGGTTAGTTCGATGAGTCAGGCTAGGAAATCAGGTGAACACATGACTTTTTATGAAGGTTTGTCTACCATGAACAAATACTATGAATGACCACCACGTAGTCTTTCCTTTTATGGTGCTCTAGTGTCTGAGGTTGGGGTTGAATCTATGTGAGTCAGTCATTACGACGTTACAGAACTGGAATTGTGTTACCGGTTGCCATAATCCATGAAGTTCATTTCAGAGCTTTGACAATTGACACTATACATAAATGTGAAATGATAACATGAATCATGACGGGCTCTGTTTCAGACACGGAGTTACAATGAAGAAGAGAAATGTACACTGAAATGCCACACACCCTGCCACATACTGTTCAAGAAAAGGGGAAGTTAAGGGAGAAACCCTCTAAATGCAAGCACCTAGATTTGTGCCTCAGAGGCCCTCATTGTGAAATCCTTTTGGTACATTAGAAGTCCAACTCCTTGAATGGGGTGGTCCCAGACGAACTCATGCACACAAGGGTTTTATAAGAGTGAGATTCTGTTCAAATTTAAATTTCTTTTGACTGTTCAATTACAAAGATTGCTAAGGTTTGTTTGGATTTTCTGAATAAGAGACTCACTAATAACATGAAGATTAAACATATATTTAATGTGCAGGGGATTTTTTTGGGGTTCATCTGTACTGTCTCTGTAGTGGTAGTTCAGTAAGGTAGGTGGGCAAGATACATGCAGGCACACGAGCAGGGATTTCTCCCTTAAATACAGAACATGGTCAATGCTGCAAGCAATCACATTGTGCTTATTATGATTTTAACTAGTGAAGCCATAAATGTTCACAATTATAAAATTACCTATGTCCTTTTTAAAAAACATCTACCTGGTGGCTCTTACATCTTTATATTTTCAGTAGCCATAAATTAATGCATCAATTTAGGTATGTTTTGTTAAATAAGGGTTCTTTTGCCACTATGCACTTTGCAAACTCACTAACCTAAATTTCATCAGCTGTCCTCTGGTCTTCATGGACTAAAAAGGGACTTAAACATAAATGTCAAGAGAGAAATCCATTCAGTGAACAGAAATATTACCATGCCTGTATTCTGTAATTTACTTAGAAAGAACCAAGTTATTTTGACACTGAGGTCATATTTTTGTCCTATTTTTTAACACTTCTTTGCTTTGGATTTTGATTAGCTTTTCAAAACATTTACCCATTTAAATAAAGCCATATGGTTCTTATGAGTCACCATGTCTTCCTAATTTCAGGAAGTTATCTTTTCTAAGTTCGGAATAACTGAGAAATCTCACAAATGGGTGAGACACAACCATGGTCTCAGATGATTTTTTGCTCACAAGAGAAAAGCACAGGCAAGTGAAAAATCAGAAGTGTATGCAAACCTCAGGACATTTTGGAAATAACTGCCACTGTCATAAAGAGAAGGGGCCGGGACGTCGCTGGAAACTTCTGCTTACCCCTTGCTCAGATTCCAAAAGCTCTGTTTTGACTCTGACTGCCGGCATCCCATCAAGCATTAACATTCTGTTCTCAAAGGTGTTGATATTCTGAGAATAAAAGAGAGAGAAATTCAGCTATAAAGCTCTCAAAAAAAAAAGGACATGTGGTAGAGTCTTCCTTCATTGTAATACATTTAGTCCTGCTAACCTCATCTTTTAACAATGAAGTCTAATAGCAGCACAACCAGTTATTCCCCCATTCTGCACTCCCATTTGAAATAATGACCAAGGACTTGAATTAATCAGTCTGATTCTCTGACCTCTGGGTTAGAGGTTAGACTGTAATAAACCGGAGTAAGGAAACCTTACATTAATTTATATGGGGCTGGAACAATTCATCATCACACTTTTGCAACAGTGCAAGGAAATAGAAGTCAAGCTTCTTTCTTCCTTAGTTCTGGAGGTTGTACTGTGTACCGAAATTCATAAAGGAGAAAAGAAATAAAATAATTTATATACTCTCATGTCTCTGTCAAAGTCTAAGTAATTTTAAAAATAAGATAATATCATCCTAGATACACTGAATTTTGGCAGCATGGCAATTCTGATCAAATGAAAATTTCTACATATCAACCTTCAAACATTTCCTTTAAAAATAACACAAGTCCTGGATTAAGAGTGAATTCTTCAGCTGAAGTCATAACCAAAAAATAAATAGCAATTTCTTTTCTGTTCTGGTATTATGTTTGGCTCAAATTACCACTTCTTGAAAGGAAAATTTTACTTCCATTGAGGATCAGTAGAATTAAAAAATTCAGTGAAACATTAAATCAAGGTTATTTTTTTTACTAATTTCACTGCTTTGGGGATTTTCTGACATCAATAACCTATGGCAGGAATAGAAAGCCACATATCAGTGCTTAGGGCCCAAACCAGGCTCATGTTTTAAAACATGTTTAGAATGCCAACTTTACCCTCATATACTGAATAAACTAAGAAATGGAAATCGCTAAATTTGACTGAGTTTTTAGAATGGTTCTTTTTGCTCAGTTATGGAATATAACCACATGACACTGGTCTTATTAACATAAAAAGAGATCTCTCTAAATATTTTGCCTACATAGTGACAAAGGTTAATACCATTTTTAAACCTTTAGATTTTCTTCTTTCATATAGTTGCTTTTCTACCAATAGGTAACCCACTTCAACAAATCATAAATTAAATGATTTTATTACTGAATAATACCAATAGAGTGCAGCATAGTGAAGCTCGAATTATTTCCCCCATTTCTTGACTCTCCTTTTTGTTTAAGAAATATCCTTCAAGAAATAAAATCTATAGGGCCTTTTATCAGAAATATTTACTCTGAGAAATGAACAACAAGAAAAAGCAAATTTACTCTAAAGTTAACTAATGAGCACTTAAAAATTCCATGCTACCTAGTCTACTAGGTAATAAAAAGGAGCAAAGCTGTCATGTTCTTTTCTTAGAAATGTACAACATTGTTAAAACTGGCAAGAAACATTTGAAAAAAAATTTTGCTTGTGACTTGTCCATTTTTTTAGGGACTTTGCTTCCTAATAGTCTACAGCACAAGGAACCGTGGTATTCCTGACAAGCTCAGTTAATTTGTTCCAAGCTTAAAATCCTTTCATGGAGGCTGATGGGTTGTTTACACATCAGGCATGGATCTCAAACCCTTATGTATCACTGGCTTCCGTGGCTGGAAGCAGCCAGCTGGGCTGGCACCACCCAGTCTCAGGGAAGCCTTCCTGCAGCCAGCCAGCCTTCAACTGCCCTGCCTTTCCAAGCAGCCAGGAATCTAGCCTAACAAAGCACCCGTAGGCTGTGCGGTTGGTAGACAATGAACGATGAGTTGATATTGCTTCCCACCCCGGAGGAGGTCTTGCCCAGACAAAAAGGGAAGAAGATGCCTTGCAAAGGGGGGGAGAAGACAAAGCGAGATTCTGGAAAGGCAGGTTTAATGAACTGTTAGAATCTGATTAGAGGCTAATGTTCCTTTTAGTGCTTTGTACCAATTTACAGCTGATATAGTTTAACCATTCTCCTCACTGGTGGTGATAAACTCATTAGTTTAAAAAATGCAAGCTAACCAGAGTCTCTGAAGTTAAAAATTGATAAATCATAAAAACCTGACTGGGTCTATGTTCCACTTAGCACATTTAAATATCACTGTATTTTCATGATTTTTAAATTGTTATTCTTGAATAATTCTACATGTGTAAAGACAATGTACATTTTAGTTTCATGTGAAAGTGAAAAAATAAAACATGTTTTCAAAAATTTTTTAAGAAATTAAGTTTTCCCTGGAAATATTCCTCTTTTCATGATTTTCTAGCATCATCTGCAGCCACAACCAAAATAAACATCACAAATAACAATGTTCACAGCTAAGGAACCAATCCTTAACCATTAAACTCTTAAAAATAGTATAGATTCAATCTGTACATATGCCTGAAAGTTATATTGTGAATATATATGTAGCATGTTAATCTCTGCATTCATGATTCTAACCCTGTTTTAGCATAAACATAAGTACTGAACATTACACTGTATTCCAGATTATCCAGGAAGGTGTATGGTTTGTATAGAGCACATGGTAATTGTACACATTGAGGATACAGTATAGTCCTTGGAACAAAATACCAATAGATTAATCTCCAAGCTAAAAATCAGATACATACAATCTCAGTTGACTTTTAAATATGTAATAAACTCCAATAATTTGAAATTGCTGTCAAACAAATCTTGCCATGATCTTAATCAAAACACATTTGCTGTGCATCAATAGCTCAACTGATTCCCAAGAGGTAAATAAAATGACACAATCATCAATTTTAGTAACATGGAACTCTTTATGTATGTTGTAACAGCCATTTTGATATGCAACCCTAAATCATCACTTATGTATATACGCATACACACTTAGTCTCACACACATACCTACACTGCTTGTTTCCTATGAGTTAAGCTTTATTCACTGAAACAAAAGTTACCATCACCATCACATTTATCAGCTGGCTATTGACCAATTCTACAGGTACTGAATGAGAATGGTATGCTGGATATTCCTATTTGCCAAATAAGATGGGGCAACACAGTAGTCCAGCTGATAGTAGCCCTCCTAGTCAAAGCCGTATAATCACATCCATCACTGATCCTAACATCTAAAAATAATTTGAATGGGATGTGCAGGAAGGAAAGGGACTGATGCTCAATAATCATATCTCAGAGATACCCCCCCATAAAATGGGGGTAACTTTCCAGATCAACCACTACAATCTGTCCTCCTACTTCCACCAAGCACATCTTTTTCTCTCCTCTCCCTGTGGGTCAGCTAGTTTGCACAACTGGAGTCAGTAAAGAGCCAGCCAGTCATTATTCAACAGAACTAATTTTACACAAGGTTTCCTTCTATAAGCCAAAAATATCTAATGGTATTTGTTTTGATTTCTTGAGGTTCAAGACATATTCACCTAAATGTGTATTCATCTGAAAGCTTCATGTTTGGCTACAGGTGATGAGAAAGATGAATCAGCCCCACCCATAGCTGTGCTATATTAACAGTGATGTAAGGAACAGATGAGTAGTGACTGATGATTCATTGCACCTAGCTGATTAAGGCACTTTCATAGACGATTCTTAAAAGATTTATACATTAAAACTATTGCCCTTTCAGTACTTTTTCCTACAGAAAGAGCAAAAGAATCAGAGTATAAGGAAATTGGGCTTCTGCCTAAAAAACGCTTCTTAGAGAAGTCAGCTTCCCTTTCTTGACTCACATCTAACTTTATAACAATTTTTTTAAAGCACTTACTGCAGATATGCCAGTCCAACCAATAGGTCATTTCTTTGAAAAAAAATCTATTTTTAAATACATGTTTTATCCCAGCCCTAAAACTTGCACTGAAATGCAAGAGAATCAGTAAAGAAGTCCCCTGCTCTTTACAGGCAAGGATCAACAAACCTACCAGATGAGGATTATGTTTGGCCAACAGTTCCAATTAGCTACTGCTTTGCAATGATTCACAGTCACAGAAACCAGCGCTCATTTCAGTATTACCTTGGTAACGAACATAATAATAACACCTAATATTTGTACAGTGACTGTGAACTAGACCCTGTGCTAAGAGATACTCGGTCCTTACAGCAACCCAAGAGGATGATGCTACATTAACCTGAAGATGAG